AATTGGCCTTAACAAAGGATTGTAGGAAAAAAAAGGGGTTTTTTTAATTTTTTTTGGGGGGTTTTAAAAATAAAAGGAGGGCCCTTGGCAAGGGCGGGGGAGGGTTTTTTTTTAAAGATTTTTAAAGAATAAAAAATGGGAGGGTTTTTTCCCAAAGGCCTGGGTTTTTTTTTTTTTTTTGATTTAAAAAGAACCAAAAAGGGGGGAATTTTGGGAAAGGGTTTTTTTTGCCAAAAGAAGGTTTTGGGGGGAATTTAAAAGGAAAGAGAAGGTTAGAAGGGGGGAAAAAAGTTAGGGGGTGGGAAAAAAATTAAATATCAAAAATTTGGGGGGAAAAAAAATTAGGGGTGAAAGTTAAAATTCCCGATGGGGGGGGGGGGGGGGGGGGGGGGTGGGGCAGTGGAGATGCTGTCTGAGGGCAATGTGGGTGTGAAATAAATGCAGAGAATTCGTTTTTTGGAAGTTAGGGGGTGCGGGATTACCAAAACTGTTTTCCAAGGGTGGGGAAAGGGTTTTTTGGGGTGGTTGGGACAGTAGAGAGAATGGAGCGAACAGAATGACTTAAAGTGTTCAGTCTGTAGTGGAAGGAAGGCGGGGTAGGGGGGGGGGGCCTAGGGGGGGTTGGAGGGGGGGTAAAGGAGGTTTTGTGTGCGAGGGGCTTGGACTTCCACGGGCATGCGTGAGGGGTTTTTTGATAGGGTGAATGGAGCAAATGGTTTTTAATATTTACGTGTTTTGGAGGTGAGAAAAGTAACATTTATAAAGGTTCAGGGAACCGGCGGGCCGGACTTGACCCTGGAGATGGGAATCAGTGCCTGCACTCTGAAGGAGGGGTTTAATGTTGCAGTTTAAAACGTAGTGTAAAGCCCCTTTCTGGAAGACAGTGAGGAGTGAATATGGTGAAAGTTTTTTTTTTTGGGGCCCCCTTCCTTGGGGGGAATCGGCCAGTTGATAATAAAAAAAAAAAAAATATATATAAATTATATATATAATTATTATATATATATATATATATATTATATATATATTATATATATTATATAATTATATATATAAATTTAACGTTTTTTGTCTCTACACTCCCCAAAACGCATCGCCAGGTTATTGCAGAATATGCAAAACAACCACGTGAAAAAATAGAGAATTTCCAAACACTTTCGTGACTTTTGATTTAAAACAAACTATAAAACAATGCATCCAAGGAGGCTTTAAAAAAGGTCTACTACATCCCCCATCCATCCTGCTCGGGTGTTGCTTTTTTTGGGGGAGTGAGGGTGAGGTTAGCCTTGGCCCTTTTATATGCCTCCCTTTGATGTATTTTTTTTTATAGTTCTTCTAATATCAAAAGTCACGAAAGTTTTTGGGAAAATTCTCATTTTTTCACAGGGTTGTTTTGCTATTCTGAAATAACCGGGCGAGTGCTTGAGGTATGTGTAGAGACAAAAAACGTTTATATATTATTTTTTATATATATATATATAAAAATTTTAAAATTTTTTAATAATATATATATATATATATATATAATATATATATATATTAGGTTTTATTATTACACACGGGCTTTTTCCCCACAAGGCAGGGGGGGCCCAAAAAGAAAAACTTTACAATCATTCACGCCATCACTGTCTTGCCGAAGGGTGCTTACACTACAGTTTTTAAACGCAACTTTAAAACCCTCCCCTTCAAGTGCGGGCACTGCACTTCCTATCTCCAGGACTATAGTCCGGCCTGCCGGTTTTCCCGAACCCTTTTCATAAATTTTATTTTTGCCCACACCCCAAACGCACCTCAAGTTTTAAAAACCATTTTTTCCCCATTCCCCTAAAAACCGTCACGCATCCCTGCTGGAAGTCCAAGCCCCTCGCACACAAAACCCCCCCTTTAACCCCTCCCCCAACCTTTCCTACCCGGCCCCTACCCCCCTTTTTTTTTCCATACAAACGATACACTCTTCAAGTATTCTGTTTCGCTCCATTCTGTCTACAGTCCAACCCCCTCAAAAAACCCTTCCTCACCCTCTGGAAAACATTTTTGGTAATCCTGCACCTCCTCCTAATTTTCCAAACTACGAATTCTCTGCATATATTCACGCCACACATTGCTCTCAACATAACTTCCCCACTGCCTCCACCCTTCTCCTCGCTGCAACATTCATCACCCATGCTTCACCCCCTATAAGGCTTTGGAAAAACTAACTCTATTCATTCCCCTCTTTTGCCCCCAAGGACAAAGTTCTTTGTCTCCACAGACCCCTAAGTGCCCACTCCCCCTTTTCCCCTCATCAATTCTATGATTCACCTACTTTTATAGACCCTCCGCTGACACGTCCACCCCAATATCTGAATCATTCACCTCCTCCAATTTTCCCCCTCCAATTGATACCCAATTTTTCTCACCTAATTTTTTGTTACCTCAAAACCCTTTACTCTTTCCTGTATTCACTTTTAATTTCTTTTTTGCATACCCTCCCAAAATTTCACCCCACCAACCTCTGCAATTCTCCTCTCTCTCTCCTTTCCTTCCTCTCTCCCTCCTCTCTCTCTCCCCTTTCTCTCTCTCTTTCTCCTCCCCTCCTCTCTCTCTTCCCCCATATATTATTAATATATATAATATATATATATATATTTATATTAAATATATATATAATATATTTTAAAATATATATATATATATATAATCATATATATGTAACATATATTATAATATATAAATTTTTTAAATATTAATATATTTATTTATCTATATATTATATATATAATTATATATAATATATTATTATTTTATTTTTTAATATGTTATAAAATAAATATTAATATATAAAAATATATATATAATATATATAATAATTATATATATGAAATTAAAATATCAATATAAAAAATTTATTATTTATATATATATATAATATATATAATATATATATATATATTAATTTTTTAAATATTATTTTTAAATTTATGCAATAAATCACAGTAAACGGGGTGATTTTCAAAATACCCAAAACAACCACTCTGAAAAAATAGAGAAAATTCCCAACGTTTTCGTGACTATCACATTATAAAGGAACTAGTTCCTTGAAAATGTGAGTAGTCCAAAAGGTTTGGGAAATTTTCTTATTCTTTCAGAGGGGTTTTTTTTGCATAATATATTATAATATATATAATAATATATATATATTTTATATATAATATATATTTTTATAATAAAATTAATAAATTATATATATATAACATATAATATTATTATATGTATATATAATATATTTTTATATATAATATGTAAAAATTTTATATGTAATATATATTATATATATTATATATATATATATATATATATATTTATATATATAATATATTTATTATATAAATGTTTTTTGTCCCCACAATACTTGAACGCAACATTTTCCCTTTTGTTCCTCCATCATTTTCTTTTTTAAAACCCTCATCCTTATAAGTCCACGGTCAGGGGAAAGGATTTACGGGATGAGGGTTAATCAAGAACTGTGAAGGAAAAAAACGAGTGATGCATTGGGTAATTGGAGAAAAAAACGTTTTCTATGGGGCAAAGAAGGGAATAATAGAATATAGTACTACCAACCTCTTATAGGGTGTGAACTTGGGGGTTTTGAATGCGCAGCGAGGGGGCTGTTTTGGAGAAATGAAAATTTGTCTAAGGGCAATCTCTGGTGTAAAAATTATCAGAAATTCGAAGTGTGAAAATTAGGAGAAGGTGTGGAGTCAAAAAAAGTTTATACAAAGCTGAAGAGGAGTTGTTGAGGTGGTTTGGTATTTAGAGAGAATAAATCAAAGTAAAGACATTGAAACTTTAAATCGAGGGGAAGGGAAACAGGGTAGGGGTTGCCCGAAAAGGTTGGAGGGGGGGGATAAAGGGGTTTTGAGGGGGGGGGTCTTGACTTCCACAAAGGGGCGTGGGTTTAATAGGGGGAATGGAGTCGAATAATATTTGGGCCCGACAGCTTTGGGGTGGAGCAGGGTAATATTGCGTAAAGAAAATCAGGGAAACCGGTTATTTTATATAGCTGAACTTGAGTCCTGGAAATGGGAAGACAATGTCACTTTAAAGGAGGGTTTGGGAATTGCAGTTTGGAGGGTATGTTTGAGTATCTTTATACGATATGCTTCCCAAAATGTTGTTTTGGCCCTCTGCAAAAGCTGATTATGTGTGAGGTGAAAATGTTGAATGATGAGGTATTTTCTTTTTGGGGGTTTCTTTCTCTTTAGGGTCACCCCCTCGGTGGGATAGCCCACTTGTTTTAAAAAAAAAAACAAATTGTATATATATATAATTATAAAATTTTATATATAATATTATAATAATAAATATATATATATATTCGTGCCGAATAAGGAGAACTTGCGATCTTGGGTTAATAGCAAGTTCTTTTTGCCTATGGACAAGTGAAAATTTTTGTATGCAAAAATTTTTCCCCAAAAAACTTTGAACCCAACGAAAAAAAATTATTTATTTTGTTTGTTTAGTATTAAATTATTGTAAACAAATCAAAAAATTTTAGGTGGTTAGGCTAAAAAAATTGTTTTTTATTATAATAAGGGTTTGGTAAATTTTTTTAAGATTCTTTTGGGCAAAATTAAAAATTTTTACATTAAATTAATGAAAAAAAAAAATTTTCGAAAAAGTATAAGAGAAAAATTTTTGAAAAAGGACTTAAATTAAATAGTTCTTGAATTCCAGTTTTACATATTCGGGGACGACATATATATAATATATATAAATAATAAAATTAATATATATAGTGGAGTGGGGGCACGCCTAGATTAAATATGTAGTGGAAAAAAATTTCCTGCACCAGTTCACACAAAAATTTTACAAAGACTGTTGTATGAGTTCAATATCCCCGAAACTAAAGTTGAAATCTGTAAAAAACTGGCAATTGTAAAACAGAAGAAAATTATACGATGAAAAAATATTCAAAACTTAACAATTCACAAAAAATAAAAAAATTTAAAATAAATTCATCAAGATATATTTCCGAAGTACTTAATAAACATCTGCAGACGTCGACGTAGTCGGTAATAAGAATATCTTCGATCAAAATATATGATGCGTTCTATAAAAAAAGTGTATTACACATAGAATTTAAATGTTGAGAAAAGGGGAAAGGTTAAATTTAAATTTAAATTTTAAAGCATAGGGCAATCATTACCCTCATATTATTGCACATTAAACTTGATCTCAATTGCAGGCAAATATCATGAATTATATATAACTGGTATTATTGGAAGCCATCTTTGTAAGTGTAATTTAATTCATGACGCTCACCACTGATTTACGAGGGTCCATTTTTGCCTAAATAATTTACTGAGGCAGTTGAAAATAAATAAAAAATATTATTTATTTTGATTTTATTAAATCTTTAGATACAGTACCACACAAAATACTGTAAAATAAAGTGGTAGCCCATGAATCGAGGCATTGCTGACTAACAGGAAGCAGAGTGTGCACAAATGGTTTGAAATCTAATTGGGGCCCGACACAAAAGGGGTTCCCAAGATCAGTTTTATGCCCATTTTTGTTCCCAATACCATTACTTTACGAAGTAAAATTTTAAATATTGAGCAAATTTTTGATATCCAAAAAATATGCTGAATAATTGATTCAAGGGAAAGTTGCCACGCCATTAAGTTACTAGAGAATTCATGAGTTTTCTTTGGGAAAGTTGAAGTTATTAAAAGTTTTGAATTTAAAGCGTGTGCAAATCATTCACTAAACCAACTCTCCCTACAAGACAAGTTTTCTAACCTTGAAATTAGTATAAAAGTAATTTCGTATAATATTAAGTTAATCGTTTGTTGGTCTGCACTTTTGTAACAAGATTTTGATACTTTGTAAAACCCTTTTTCAACGTGTCTCTGCAAGCATTGCTTAAAAACTCTTTCAAACAAAACTCAATAAACTTTCGAGGAAATGAGAAGAAAATAAAGCCGAATGCATGAAATCTGAAACTAACCTGCGACTTTGGCTATTTCACTCAGTTTCTTGTTTTCACAGTACTGATAGTTGTTGACCTGAGAGTTCTGCCATCGCGAAACGTCGAAACTTTCAGCAATGTTAAAAATGTCTTCAAGTGATATGGGATCAGGGTTAACAGCCAACAGCTCGGTGCTTCTGTCTACCACACCTGGAATTATGGAAAAATATATTTCACATCAATGACTCGTTAGGTTTACACTGCATATATATATATAATATATATATATATATATATATATATATATATATATATATATATATATATATATATATATATATATATATATATATATCTATATATATATATATATATATATATATATATATATATTATATATATATATATATATATATATATATATATATTATATATATATATATATAAAATTATAAGAAGAGTATGTGGAGAGTAAAAGAAAGGTGAAGAGAATGGTGAGAGAGTGCAAAAGGAGAGTGGATGATAGAGTGGGAGAGGTACTGTCAAGGAATTTTACTGAAAATAAGAAAAAAATTTGGAGCGAGTTAAACAAGTTAAGAAAGCCCAGGAAACATACTATTGGAGATAGTAGATGGGGAGATAGAGGCTTTGGGTAGATGGCAAGAATATTTTGAAGAACTTTTAAATGTCGACGAAGAAAGGGAGGTGGTAATTTCATGCACTGGTCAGGGAGGTATACCATCTTTTAGGAGTGAAGAAGAACAGGATGTGAGTGTGGGGGAGGTGCGTGAGGCATTACGTAGAATGAAAGGGGGTAAAGCAGCTGGAACTGACGGGATCATGACAGAAATGTTAAAAGCAGGGGGGGATATAGTGTTGGAGTGGTTGGTATTTTTGTTTAATAAATGTATGAAAGAGGGGAAGGTACCTAGGGATTGGCAGAGAGCATGTATAGTCCCTTTATATAAAGGGAGGGGGAAAAAAGAGATTGTAAAAATTATAGAGGAATAAGTTTACTGAGTATACCAGGAAAAGTGTACGGTAGGGTTATTATTGAAAGAATTAGAGGTAAGACAGAATGTAGAATTGCAGATGAGCAAGGAGGTTTTAGAGTGGGTAGAGGATGTGTAGATCAAGCATATATGTGAGCAGTATTTAGATAAAGGTAGGGAAGTTTTAATTGCATTTATGGATTTAGAAAAGGCATATGATAGAGTGGATAGGCGAGCAATGTGGCAAATGTTGCAAGTATATGGAATAAGTGGTAAGTTACTAAATGCTGTAAAGAGTTTTTATGAGGATAGTGAGGCTCAGGTTAGGGTGTGTAGAAGAGAGGGAGACTACTTCCCAGTAAAAGTAGGTCTTAGACAGGGATGTGTAATGTCACAATGGTTGTTTAATATATTTATAGATGGGTTTGTAAAAGAAGTAAATGCTAGGGTGTTCGGGAGAGGGATGGGATTAAATTATGGGGAATTAAATACAAAATGGGAAGTGACACAGTTACTTTTTGCTGATGATACTGTGCTAATGGGAGATTCTAAAGAAAAATTGCAAATGTTAGTGAACGAATTTGGGAATGTGTGTAAAGGTAGAAATTTGAAAGTGAACATAGAAAAGAGTATAGTGATGAGAGTATCAAATAATTTAGATAAAGAAAAATTGGATATCAAATTGGGGAGGAGTATGGAAGAAGTGAATGTTTTCAGATATTTGGGAGTTGACGTGTCAGTGGATGTATTTATGAAGGATGAGGTTAATCATAGAACTGATGAAAGAAAAAAGGTGAGTGGTGTATTAAAGTATATGTGGAGGCAAAAAATGTTATCTATGGAGGCAAAGAAGGCAATGTATGAAAGTATAGCAGTACCAACACTCTTATATGGGTGTGAAGCTTGGGTTGTAAATGCTGCAGCAAGAAGGCGGTTGGAGACAGTGGACATGTCCTGTCTAAGAGCAATGTGCGGTGGAAATATTATGCAGAAAATTCGGAGTGTGGAAACTAGGAGAAGGTGTGGAGTTAATAAAAGTATTAGACAATGGTCTGTAGAGTGTTTGTTTAGGTGGTTTGGTCTTTTAGAGAAAATGAATCAAAGTATAATGACATGGAGAGTGTATAAAACTGTAGGGGTCGTCCTCAAAAAGGTTGGAGGGAGAGGGTAAAGGAGGTTTTGTGGGCGAGATGTTTGGACTTTCAGCAAGCGTGCGTGAGCGTGTTAGATAGGAGTGACCGGAGACAAATAGTATTTGGGACCTGACGATCTGTTGGAGTGTGAGCAGAGTAATATTTAGTGAAGGGGTTCAGGGAAACCGGTTATTTTTATATAGCCGGACTTGAGTCCTGGAAATGGGAAGCACAATGCCTGCACTCTAAAGGAGGGGTTTGAGATATTGGCAGTTTGGAGAGATATATTGTGTATTTTTATACGTATATACTTCTAAACTGTTGCATTCTGGGCACATCTGCAAAAACAGTGATTATATGTGAGTGAGGTGAAAGTGTTGAAAGTATATATATATATATATATATAATATATATATATATATATATATATATATATATATATATATATATATATATATTATATATTATATATATATATATATATATATAAAGTCCAAAGTTCTTTTGAAAACATGCTATTTACTCTGGCTGCATCACTCACCCAGGTTACATCACTCACCCAGGTTACATCACTCACCCAGGTTACATCGCTCACCCAGGTTACATCACTCACTCAGGTTACATCACTCACCCAGTCTACATCACTCTCCAAGGTTACATCACTCACCCAAGCTACATCACTCACCCAGGTTACATCACTCACCCAGGTTACATCACTCACCCAGGTTACATCACTCACCCAGGTTACATCACTCACTCATGTTACATCGCTCACCCAGTCTACATCACACACCCAGGTTGCATCAATCACCCAGTCTACATCACTCACCCAGTCTACATCACTCACCCAGGTTACATCACACACCCAAGCTACATCACTCACCCCGTCTACATCACTCACCCAGGTTACATCACTCACTCAGGCTACATCACTCACCCAGGTTGCATCACTCACCCAGGTTACATCAATCACCCACTCTACATCACTCACCCAGTTTACATCACTCACCCAGGTTACATCACACACCCTAGCTACATCACTCACCCAGTCTACATCACTCACCCAGTCTACATCGCTCACCCAGTCTACATCACTCACCCAGGTTACATCAATCACCCACTCTACATCACTCACCCAGTCTACATCACTCACCCAGGTTACATCACACACCCAAGCTACATCACTCACCCAGGCTACATCACTCACCAAGGTAACATCACTCACCCAGTCTACATCACTCACCCAGGCTACATCACTCACCCAGGTTACATCACTCACCCACTCTACATCACTCACCCAGTCTACATCACTCACCCAGGTTACATCACTCACCCAGGTTACATCACACACCCAATCTACATCACTCACCCAGGTTATATCACTCACCAAGGCTGCATCACTCACCCAAGCTACATCACTCACCCAGGTTACATCACTCACTCAGGCTACATCACTCACCCACTCTACATCACTCACCCAGTCTACATCACTCACCCAGGTTACATCACTCACCCAGGTTACATCACACACCCAAGCTACATCACTCACCCAGGTTATATCACTCACCAAGGCTGCATCACTCACCCAAGCTACATCACTCACCCAGGTTACATCACTCACTCAGGCTACATCACTCACCCAGTCTACATCAATCACCCAGTCTACATCACTCACCCAGTCTACATCACTCACCCAGGTTACATCACTCACCCAAGCTACATCACTCACCCAGTCTACATCACTCACCCAGTCTACATCACTCACCCAAGCTACATCACTCACCCCGTCTACATCACTCACCCAGGTTACATCACTCACCCAGGCTGCATCACTCACCCAGGTTGCATAACTCTCCCAGTCTACATCACTCACCCAGGCTACATCACTCACCCAGTCTACATCACTCATCCGGGTTACATCACTCACCCAGGCTACATCACTCACCCAGGCTACATCACTCACCCAGGCTACATCACTCACCCAGGTTACATCACTCACCCAGTCTACATCACTCACCCAGGCTACATCACTCACCCAGTCTACATCACTCACCCAGGTTACATCACACACCCAAGCTACATCACTCACCCAGGCTACATCACTCACCCATGTTACATAACTCACCCAGTCTACATCACTCACCCAGGCTACATCACTCACCCTGTCTACATCACTCACCCAGTCTACATCACTCACCCAGTCTACATCACTCACCCAGTCTACATCACTCACCCAGGCTACATCACTCACCCAGTCTACATCACTCACCCAGGTTACATCACACACCCAAGCTACATCACTCACCCAGGCTACATCACTCACCCAGGTTACATAACTCACCCAGTCTACATCACTCACCCAGGCTACATCACTCACACAGTCTACATCACTCACCCAGTCTACATCACTCACCCAGGCTACATCACTCACCCAGTCTACATCACTCACCCAGGCTACATCACTCACCCAGGTTACATCACACACCCAGGCTACATCACTCACCCAGGCTACATCACTCACCCAGTCTATATCACTCACCCAGGTTACATCACACACCCAGGCTACATCACTCACCCAGGCTACATCACTCACCCAGTCTACATCACTCACCCAGTCTACATCACTCACCCAGGCTACATCACTCACCCAGTCTACATCACTCACCCAGGTTACATCACACACCCAGTCTACATCACTCACCCAGTCTACATCACTCACCCAGGCTACATCACTCACCCAGGCTACATCACTCACCCAGTCTACATCACTCACCCAGTCTACATCACTCACCCAGGCTACATCACTCACCCAGTCTACATCACTCACCCGGGTTACATCACACACCCAGGCTACATCACTCACCCAGTCTACATCACTCACCCGGGTTACATCACTCACCCAGGCTACATCACTCACCCAGGTTACATCACTCACTCAGGCTACATCACTCACCCACTCTACATCACTCACCCAGTCTACATCACTCACCCAGGTTACATCACTCACCCAGGCTACATCACTCACCCAAGCTACATCACTCACTCAGGCTACATCACTCACTCAGGCTACTTCACTCACTCAGGCTACATCACTCACTCAGGCTACATCACTCACTCAGGCTACTTCACTCACTCAGGCTACATCACTCACTCAGGCTACTTCACTCACTCAGGCTACATCACTCACCCAGGCTACATCACTCACCCAGGTTACATCACTCACCCAGGTTACATCACTCACCCAGGTTACATCACTCACCCAGGTTACATCACTCACCCAGGTTGCATCACTCACCCAGGCTACATCACTCACCCAGGTTACATCACTCACCCAGGCTACATCACTCACCCAGGCTACATCACTCACCCAGGCTACATCACTCACCCAGGCTACATCACTCACCAAGGCTACATCACTCACCCAGGCTACATCACTCACCCAGGCTACATCACTCACTCAGGCTACATCACTTACCCAGGCTACATCACTCACCCAGGCTACATCACTTACCCAGGCTACATCACTCACCCAGGCTACATCACTTACCCAGGCTACATCACTAACCCAGGCTACATCACTCACCCAGTCTACATCACTCACCCAGGTTACATCACTCACCCAGGCTACATCACTCACCCAGGTTACATCACTCACCCAGGTTACATCACTCACCCAGGCTACATCATTCACCCAGTCTACATCACTCACCAAGGCTACATCACTCACCCTGGCTACATCACTTACCCAGGCTACATCACTCACCCAGGCTATACCACTCACCCAGGCTACATCACTCACCCAGGCTACATCACTTACCCAGGCTACATCACTCACCCAGGCTACATCACTCACCCAGTCTACATCACTCACCCAGGTTACATCACTCACCCAGGTTACATCACTAACCCAGGCTACACCACTCACCCAGTCTACATCACTCACCCAGGCTACATCACTCACCCAGGCTACATCACTCACCCAGGCTACATCACTCACCCAGTCTACATCACTCACCCAGTCTACATCACTCACCCAGGTTACATCACTCACCCAGGTTACATCACTCACCCAGTCTACATCACTCACCCAGTCTACATCACTCACCCAGGCTACATCACTCACTCAGGCTACATCACTCACCCAGGCTACATCACTCACTCAGGCTACATCACTCTCCCAGGCTACATCACTCACTCAGGCTACATCACTCACCCAGGCTACATCACTCACTCAGGCTACATCACTCACCCAGGCTACATCACTCACTCAGGCTACATCACTCACCCAGGCTACATCACTCACTCAGGCTACATCACTCACCCAGGCTACATCACTCACTCAGGCTACATCACTCACCCAGGCTACATCACTCACCCAGGCTACATCACTCACCCAGGCTACATCACTGACCCAGTCTACATCACTCACCCAGGCTACATCACTCACCCAGGCTATATCACTCACCAGGCTACATCACTCACCCAGGCTACATCACTCACCCAGGCTACATCACTCACCCAGGCTACATCACTCACCCAGGCTACATCACTGACCCAGTCTACATCACTCACCCAGGCTACATCACTCACCCAGGCTATATCACTCACCCAGGCTATATCACTCACCCAGGCTACATCACTTACCCAGGCTACACACAGAGTGTGGCTCTGATGACAGAGTCAGTGAGGCTGCAGCTCCTGGTTGTGCTTTAGCAACAGACCAGGTGAGGTCCACCTTGTTAGGCAGACACTTCTCTACCTCCAACTCTCTGGTGTCTGCTACCACCTCTCCGTCCTCTCGTGTGTACCACACCAACACCTGAAACACATGGTTCATTTAATATTCATATGTCAAATGTCTTGATCCAAATCCGATATTTATAATAGTACTACGATAGGACAGTAAATTTAGCAGTTGTTTCAGAGAAGTGTCTGCTTTTCTTCTTTGGTAATATTTTGCTTTCAGTTCACTTGAAATGAAATCTGGAAGCTAAATATAAATTATTGGTACAAAGAAATATAAACCATAACTCATTTGTTAATATCTACCGCATTACCGTATTCAATGACCACCGCATTACCGTAGGCAATGACCACCTCATTACCGTAGGCAATGTCTACACTATTATAGCAAGCAATGACTACCGAATTACACAAATAATCTGCATATAGGAGACGTTTTGGTTCGATCTGAATCATTAACTGGCAAAAAAAAAAAAACATTTTTGACTGATTCGTCAGGAACTGCGTCCTGACACTTTGTGAATGTGAGGTTTATAGCAACGGCATCTTTACCTTTGGGGTAGATTTCGATCTAATTCAGCTGAGAGATGTTATCCTAGAAACTGGATAAAGACCTGCCTCGTTTGTACGTTACTGTCCTTTTTGATTCGAAGTTGCTCTGCTTTCAGAATGTTTTAGTTTCTGTGTATTGCATCGAGGGGCATTTTTAACGCATAGCGTATGTCATTCGCTCTGGTTTAAAGTGCTGCTTCCCAAGACCAAACCCATCTTAGTAGGAACTAGTTACCTCCCTCCCACCCACGACCAGTTCTTAGAAGACTTTTCGAGAATCTTGTCCTGACCTGAGATCAATTGCGAGACAGTAATAATGGGAGACTTCAATATTTGTTTTCATCAGCAAAATAACAGGCTATGTAAAAGGTATAAGCAAATTCTAGGTGTAAATAGTTACATTCAACTAATAAATGCACCAATCCTGATCACACAGGTCTTAGCCACCTTAATTGACTACATACTTTGTAACCACTCTGAGAACAGTAGTCAGTCAGGCGTCATTACCACAAGTCTTAGTAATCATTTCATCATTTACTGCACCAGCACCTATAGGCCTGTTAGTATACTCAGTGTAATATCCAAAATTCTAGAGAGAGCGGTGTACTGTCAAATAGTTAAGTATCTTAATGACATCAACATTCTTCATAGTTACCAGTCAGGATTTAGGAGATCTTACTCAACCGACACCTCCCTAATTAATTAGATGGATTACATGAGAACTGAAATGTCGATAGGGCCATCAATACTGTCAACCACAATATATCATGTAAGAAACTTCAAGCTGTCGGCACAGGTTCCATAGAGTGATTTAAGTCCTATCTTAGCAACGGGAACAAACTGTCAAAATCAACAAAACAGAATCAAAATCCCTGCCGAAAGCATGTGGAGTTCCCTAAGGTAGTATTTTGGGTCTCTTACTATTTCTATGTCATGTAAACGACATGCCCATCAGTGTCAAGTGCAAACTCCTACTGTATGCGGATGACAGTGCTCTGTTAGTGTCAGGTAAAAATCCACAAGATATAGCTAATGTAATAACACTGGAACTGGAGTCCTGTAGCAAATGGTTAGTAGACAACAAACTACCGTTTCACATCGTTAAAACGGAAACTATACTCTTTGGCACGAAACGTAAATTGAGAAGGGTAAATAATTTTAATGTCCGGTGTAATGGAGAACCCATCACTTCAGTTTCTTCAGTATAATATCTAGGAATCCCCTTTCACCCCATACATGTCAGGAGAACTGATAGGGAACAGTGTAGTAATGAAAGCGAATGCCAGACTGAAGTTCTTCTACAGACAAGCACAGTGTCTACCTACTGAGGCTCGCAGGACCCTATGTCTATCCTTTATACAATGTCATATGGATTACGCTTGCTCTTCATGGTACTCTGCCTTGACAAAAAAAAACTGAATGATACACTGCAAATCACCCAGAACAAAATAATAAAATTCATCCTGAACCTGGGACCAAGAGATCATGTAGGCCAGGATGAATTACACCAATTGGATATGCTGAATGTTGAAGACAGAGTAAAACAACTGAAGCTAAATTAAGTTCATAAAATTGCTCAGCCGGTCTAAAGATCGACAATGCAAATAATTTTTTCATGACTGATCCACAAAGCCCTGTCAATGTATACCAAATTTCTGACATGACACTAACTCTACTATATTTTAAGAAAGCCATTGACAACATGCCCATGCACTCAGCCCTAGGCCCAGACTCATGGAACTCTGTGTTCATAATAACTATCATGAAACCCCATTCGCAGGCCCTAAGTATACTATGGAAAAGGAGCATAGACATAGGTGACATTCCACAGTCACTAAAAATAAAAGATGTAGTCTCACTCCACAAATACTGCAGCAAAGCAATACCTAAGAACTAATGATCAATAGCTCTAACGTCCCACATCTTAAAAAACTTTGAGTTCTAAGAAGCAGGATTCAGAGCAGGTCACTCGTGCCTCTCACAACTAATGGACCACTATAACGTGGTCTTGGATAAACTGGAAGACAAACAGAATGCAGATGTAGTATGCATAGATTTTGCAAAATCCTTTGACAAGTGTGATCATGGTGTAACAACACACAAAATGCGTGCTAAGAGGTTAACTGGAAAAGTGTATAGATGGATCTTCAACTTTCTAACCAACCGAACACAGAGAGTAATGAGAAACAGAGTTAAATTGGAGGCTGCCATTGTGAAGAGATCTGTTCCACAAGGCACAGGACTCGCCCTTATCCTATTCCTCATCCTCATATCAGGCACAGACAGAGATGTATCATCCTCTGCAGACGATAATAGGATCTGCATGAGAGTGCCATCCAGCGAGGACACGGTAAATCTCCAAGAAAATATAACACAAATTTTCCAGCTGGCAATGGAGAACAATGTGATGTTCAATGAAGAGAAATTCCAACTACTCCGATATGGAAAACTGGAGAAAATAATAACTAGAGCAGAGTATACTACAAACACCTATCACACAATAGAGTGGAAAAGTAACGTGAAGGACTTGGGAGTTACTAGTAATGTCTGAGGATCTCACCTTCAAGGATCACAAGAGTGCCACTATCACATCTGCGAAGAAAATGATTGGATGGATAATGAGGACGTTCAAGACGAGAGATGCAAAGCCAGTGATTAATCTTTTTAAATAATTTTGCTGGAATACGGCTGTACATTAACATGTCCCTTTCAGGCAGGTGAAATCGCAGATCTAGAGAATGTACAGAGAACCTTTACTGCACATTAGTGTGCACTGAAATTTTGGTCAAAGCTGTACTCATCAGGAACTGTTCCTTATATACATCTTAGATTCAGTACCAAATATGAAGTTGATTTGTTGAAGTTTAGCCTACAGCATTTGCGACTGAAATTTTTAATATGTCTGTATTACTGAGGAGAGCATCACAGTGTTTTATGTACTGTATCTATGTACTCTGCAGTATTTATAAATATTAACTAACTTTCTCAGTGTATATGTTGGAGCTGTCATTGCTACTGCCACCTTAATATACTATGGCAATATCACTAAGGAGGACAAAAGTCATGTTATTGGACCATAGAAGTTATGAGATGCCAGACACAAATACCGAAAGGAGAGGCAAGAAAATGAGCTGGCAAAGTTGGACAATATCACGTCACTGCATTTTGATGGTAAGACCTCCACTCATGTAATGACAAAGAATGAGAAGACCAAGTAATGGAGTCCAAAGTTAGTGGTGAAAGATCATTACGTCAGCATAGTGGAGCCTGGCACTGTCTCACTCATGTGACTCCCACGTCAGGCCATGTAAAGGAGATTGCCAATACTATCTGTTGGAACAGAAATTAACTCGGCAGTCTCTTGTATGGGTTGGTAGTGACGGAACCAACATAAATGTTGGAGCTGACAATGGAGCCAGTCATCATCTTGAAATGTTGCTTGGTCATCCAGTCAATTATTTCATCTGTCAGCCTCATGGAAATGAGCTGCCATTCCGGGCTGTTTTCTACCACTATGACGGTAAGCTAAGTGGTCCTGAGCATTGGAGAGGTCCCATTCACAAGCAAATCAAGAATCCTCTGTCTGAGCTGCCAGTTGTTGCTTTCTAGCAAATCAATTTCACTGATTTCCCTGCTCTGAATGACAAGGTGGCAAAGGATCTGTCCTGGGACCAGAAATACTTGTATCGGATTTGCAAAGGAGTGATCACAGGTGGGGGTTCATGATCACTTGGCTACTCGTGAACCAGGTCCACCGTGTGTGTCAAGGTGGAATACGTTATGGAGTAGGATCCTTAGGCTGTATGCGGCAACATCAAGACCAAGTCAGGAGCTGAAAAGAGTCGTTATTATGATTTTAAAATTCAGTGCTCCGGTGTGGTTCCACATAAAGCTTCACCCTTATGTCAGACACGGTCAAAAGAAAGCCTTCCAGTCACTGCAGTTTATGAGACATCGGAACAGTGAAGAAAAGAAAATAGTAAAAAAGGCTGTCCAAAGAAATTCCTACTTTGCTCACTCAGATCAGCTGCTTCTTGGTAATGTGCGCTGATGTAGACATGACTGAGAGACAAGGCTTTTTCAATGATAAGAAAAATTAGAGAAGAGAATCAGCAGACAGAAGAAAGTACTGAGAGCTCTGATGGGGAGGGAGGAGATTCTGCTGATGCTGTTGTTAATCTACACTAATGATGAGGATGACAGTGAAGATGAAGAGACAATGTGGCTCCTATCGTCAACTCAAGAAAAGTAGTGATTCCCAAACAGAGACGCCCAAGGAGCGTCATGAGAGACGCTCCTTGGGCATAAGCATCTCTTATAACCTTCTCCTGATCTCAGCTTTGATGGGAAAATTTGTCTTCCATTAGTTTTAAGGAGAACAAATGGTCTGCCCTTTCAACATGCATGACACTGTAGTATACGTACTGAAAACGTGTTTTGGTATTTAGAGCAAAAACCATACATACATGGGACTTAAATGACATTTGTCCAGACCAAACTTTATGTAAATAAGCCCAGGCAATAATAACGCATCAGCACTTTTCAATGAATTATTTGAATAATTAAGCAATTTTAAAAAAAGTAATTGCATATCATACAGACCTTGATCTTAGGAGATGCTGTGGGCGGAAGTGTGACCTTAATATTGACTACTCCTCTGATGGTGTTCTCAGGGGGAGGAGGAAGAGGGTCCACTAAATGTTCCTTACTGATGGGCAACTCACCACTACTCAGCTCATACTCTTGAGAACTCTGGTGCTGAATCTTCCCGCGAGAAACAACCTGATGGAAATAGAGCAATGTTTATCTCATAATATTATTATAGAACATTTAAAAAATATCGTGATAGCTGCATTTGTATTCATCATGTGTGCATTTTTATTGCACATAATAAAGTGGAAGTTACATTTGCAGGTGTTGTATTTAGCATAAAAAATATTTTTAATTCAAAAGAATTATTGACTGGGTTAGCATTCCTATATGAGCAAAATATTAAGCACAAGTGTCTATTTCTTTAAACAATTACTCCATGTGTTTCTAGGTAATATAATATAAAAAACATCTACAAAATGTGAGAATTTGTTGTGCATAAAAATTTCCGTTTATGGGATCACATGTGGAAATTATTTTGGAATCGAAAATATTCCACGAAACGTTTTGTAATGTAAACATAAGGAGTCCTTAACATAACACTTGTAAATAATTTATGACATTTAAGACAAATTTAAGTCGTTACGTAGAGTAGATAATAAACTTCGGCGATAATAACATCGTTATAGGGCCTAGGATAGTTAGAAGTAGGTCATATACAGTATGATAGATAATAGCCAGTGATTCAAAATTCGAACTAAGATCAGTTGAGACACTGCCTAAGTCAGTTACTATTCACAAGTCATCAAGACCGGATGTGTAATAGAAGCCAGGAGACCAGCATATCTTGCTAAGGTAGAGGAGCTATTTAACAACGAAGCTTCCTCAAACACCGAGGATAACTGTTAATATTCTTTCAAGCCCCAGCAGCCTGGGTTTGCGCTTTTGTCAGCATTATTGGCGAATTTTACTGTTGAAGCGCGGATCATGGACGTCCTGCTGGGAGATCTGGCGGAGGAGTAACAATGTAGTCCGTCAATTTCTGAGGTATCGAGTAATGAAGTGAAGCTCTCCCTGTATTTCAAGTAAGTTGCATTGTCGTGTACTATTAGGAAAACATAACAACAAAAATCTTTTGGATTTTCTCTTGCACGAGCCACTTGCGCGCTCGAGTTGGTATCTCGGGATATCTGTGTCAACAGTTTTAGCTAAATTAATTGCACATTAGGAGGCAGTTAGCGGAAAAATCCCAGTATCACGACTACGTGAATGCATCGTTGAATGCTAGAGTGAGAATTATTATTTTTGTGTAGATTTGCTCTGAAATGGTATTTATAAATAAAAAGAACACATGGCAAGTGCAAGGAGTCGAAGGATTTCCTTTAATACAGATAGGTGAGTACTCACCTAAATACAAGACATTGACACTGTGCCCTTACTAGACTAGAAACAAAGTTAACATATAGCTATCTGTCTGTAGAAGCTGCTTTATTGGAACATCCACAGACCTCCAAACACGTATTTCAGAACACCAGTTCGCAGGCAGATCTGACGATCTGCCTGCGAAATTCCCACAACGGAACGCAAGACTTATCTCCAGAGAAGACAACACTCAATACCAAAGAATCCTGGAATCATCACTTATCTGTATATCCAACAACTTCAACCAGAACAACGGCTTCTGTAAGATAGCTGAACCACTTGCCAAGAAACTTCTTCATCGATGTCCCACCTAAGAACATAAGAATGGAGGAACACTGCGGAAGGTCTACTCATATACTTATCCAATCTCTTCTTAAAGCTACCCAAGGTTCTAGACTCTATCACCCTTCTTGGAAGACTGTCACATGCAGCATTGTCCACCTGACCCAGCATTCTCCACCTGACGCCATCCTATAAATACTCACGTATCTTTCACGCCTTACTCACCTCCACTTTCTCGTCTGGCTCTTCTTCACTCCTACAAGATCTTTTACGTCTGTGGCGAATGCATGAAATTACAACTTCCCTCTAATCATCAATATATATTAGTTCCTTAAAATATTCCCTTCATCTTCCAAATACCTCCAAGTTCTTATCTAACAACTCTCCTCTTCCATTTTTAAATGTCAAATCCATTCGTTTCCTAAGTTTTCTCAATTCATTAATTTCTTTTCAAATTGTTTTCTTATTCTCAACAAAATTTACTGACAGCACCTCACCTACCTCTCTCTTACTCATTAGTACCGAATGCGTCTTTTCATCTACGTTTCACGTATAGTACTTGCGGTATAGTTTTTATTTTCTATCCTAAACACAGATTGTTATTTTGATATTTTTTTTTAGTTGTCCTTGTAATATTTTTTCCTACCTCTCTTCTCGAGTACACAATGCTCTATGTTGTCTTTGCTTTAGATGGTTTTCACTTCCTGAAAATCGTGGTAGTCTCTATATCAATGGGAGTTTATCGGCTAGATGTGCTTTCAGTTGCTTTGTATTGTTGTAATATCTATTAAAATATTGGTTCAATTTATAAGATTTAGTGTGTGAAAGTATGGGTCAGGAAATGTATCAACGAGGGCATAGCAAGATGTGCGTTTACTGAGAGTAAATGAAAAGAAATTCCTAAGTGAAGATTTGTCTCTCTCCTTCATCTAGGAACAGAACAGAAGAGAGACAACACGTGAGTGAGAACATTCTTTGTTTTAGTGATAATTTGGAATGGGATACTGGAATTTAAGTGCAAATGTGAAGGAATGTTATCACCGAGCGATTTTGGGATTATGTCAAACTGTATATTCACTATGAAGACATTTATATTGAATGAGAGTCACAATACCGTGGTTGCAGCAATTTACAAATAACGCGCACCTTTGAGAGAGAGACTTAACTTCTGTTTATTTTCCTTTTATAGGCCTTTTCTCGCTGAGTTTTGGTTTGAAAAAGGTGAATGGTGATTTCTTTAGCTATCTCTTTACTAGGATTGATAAAACTACCAAAAATTAAGGTTCAACTCAATAAATGTCTAGATTGTGCAAGCCTTATAATTTAGGTGTCAATTTAGGTTAGACAAATACATGAATGAGAGGGATTGGATTTGAGTGGGACTTGCACGTGAGTAAATAGATTTGTCAGAGCTTATTGTTAGGGTAGCACTGAAAGTGGGCTGGGTAAATGTTCTATTATTGGGTTGATATTGTAAAGGGCCTGCCAAGTATGATCCAACAGGCCTACTGCAGTGTTCCTCCTTTCTTATGTTCTAATGTTGAATGAGAGACACCAGTTTTAAACCAAAGAAGGAAGAGATTATCCTTTACTGCGAAAGTATGACGTTACACTAGTTTTTGTTCTATCTCCTTACATGTAAACGTTCATCACCTTGAACCATACAATTGTATACATCATCGGGAAAGACTTATTAAATGGGAGTATACTGATCGAGAATACAACATAGTTATCCCAGATATAAACCACAAAACTTTTATTTAAATATGCATATAAGTGCATTTATAATATCGTTATACATATTTTAGAAATCTTTATTTTCCTGCATCAACCTTATTCGTGGGTTGTATCTCTTAAGGCAAAAGTCATGTAGTAATCTCCCTGTTCGTCTGCGTTCAGCTGTCGACAGAATTTTTTTTTAATCATACTGATTCAGAAATTGACAATCGAGGCCAGCACCAGTATGCCACCAGCCACAGCTCCTGTGTCCCCTCATAGTGACATTCAGTCCACTGAATCCGGCACTGCCAAGCCGGCGGTAAATGGTACCGCGATCACTGCTGTTGAGTCTTTCTCGTGGGGCCGCCACCAATGAACGGCTCCAATGACAAAGATCCGAATGTGGTTATTTATCCCTAACAAATTAAGAAGCAAAAACAACATATTATTAATATGTTAGGAATGTTCTTTTATATTAAGTCTGTTAGTGATTATGAACAAAGTGCGAAGTTAGATAAATTAACAAAATTTTGATAGGTGCAAGCACCAAAATCTAGATTTTGTTGGACCCGTGCTGGGATCTGTAGTGACTTTTTTTTTCCTAACGAGTTAGAAATTGTTTATAATTATACGATTTTGTTCCTGAGGAGAAGCAGAACATCAGAAAAGCTGCTCTTCTTAATATCTGATAATTAAATGGAGTACAGTATAAGTAACTAGGTCTAAGGGGAAATAAAAGCCTGATATAGCGTATGTACGAAACCTGTGTATTTGCATTTGACGGAGGAGAAGCGTGTGGTTCAAAGGATGATAATTTGAACCAAAGAATATTCAACCTTTCCGGTTAATTTTATTCTTAACGGTTCTCAGATTAGTGAAATTGTTACTACTATATATAATTGTCATTTTTTGAAAAGCTCAAATATTTAAAGGTTCCATTATTTATCAGGCAATCTTAAAGTATTACAATGTGATCCTAGATGTGATGAGTCAGCGGACGCTTAACCACGTCACAGGTTACCACTGATCTCTTTCATAAACAAAACACAACCACTTTATCAAAGTAGTGTGGAAAGCAAGAAGCAGAAACAAAACTAAACATTATTACCTGGACAATGAAAGTTGCAGAGGTCTGGCCGGTGGCAGAGAAGAGCACGGGCAGGATGTACTCCTGAGCTTCCCCGGACACACACTTTAGTTTTCCTTCAGGAGCGTGGATCAAGAGTGA